GATTCCAGGGATCTGATGAACAACAAGATCTTCTTCCAGCATCCGGACCTGATGCGCGCGCTGTGCGTTCACGAGAACGTCATGCGCGTCATGGTCAACACACTGAACAAGTCGCAGGTTCAGAGTCAGTCACAGGAGGGCCAGGATGGTATGGGCGGAGATTCCGTCCAGCAGCAGGTAAGCCGAGGCAGCAGACGGGGGACACACAGGAGCTGCCATGCTGTAATATGCGCGTGCGTGTGCGTGTGTGTGTGTGTGTGCGTGCGTGCGCGTGCGTGCGTGTGTGTGTGTGTGTGTGCGTGCGTGCATGTGCGTGCGTGCATTCGTGTGTGCGTGCGTGCGTGCGTGCGTGCGTGCGTGCTGGTGCATGCATGTGTGCATGGATGAGAGAGGTGGGGTTGATAGGTCAAGCGAGAGAGAGAGAGAGAGAGCTGAGTCTGTAAATAAGTGTTAAAGTGAGAGAGAAAGAGAGAGAGAGAGAGGGGGGGAGAGCGAGAGCGAGAGCAAGAAGAGAGAGAGACAGATAAAACGCTTGCACCAGTCCAATGATCCATCCATCTGTCAGTTCAGCTGTGTTATGCACTCGCTTGTTTTGTAGGATTGCTCAGAGATGGTGACCTCCTGCTGCCGCTTCCTCTGCTACTTCTGCCGCTCCAGCGCGGCGAACCAGCGTGCCAGCTTCGAACATCTCAGCTACTTCCTAGACAACAGCACAATGCTTGTCGGTCAGTGTCCACATCATGATGATTACTGCTGTCTACTCCTGTAGTCGTAGTTGCATTTTTAGACCTCCACATGTAGGGTAGAATTCATATGAAGCCATGAATCATTAGTGTTGCCTTCCTTAGACCTCCACATGTAGGGTAGAATTCATATGACGCCATGAATCATTAGTGCTGCGCTCTATGTTGTGACAGGAGTTTATAGTGCTGCATTTTTGACGCGTAAACATGACTATATAGACACATAGACATATATGCACGAGGCATAGATTCTTAGTTCTAGAATCTATGTAGCAACATCAGTCATTAGTGTTGCATCCAACATATGTCTTCAGTGCCCTCCTCTGAGTCAGTGCTCAAAGGAGGGTCCATTTCAAATAAGTTAACTGGAAGCCTGTCAATCACGCACCATACATACACTCTCTCTCCTGATGTGTAGGATCAGCTGAAGCGCTACATTGAGATCAAAAAGGCCGACCTTCAACCAGCAGTCGCTGCGAAGAAGACCAGAGAATTCAGGTGTCCTCCAAAAGAGCAGGTGTGTCATGTGTAAATTTGGTTTTTTGTTTGTTACAAAGTTACGTGATGAATTCTTAAATTACCTACGTTGATATGGAAATAAAGCGAAATTGTGTATAGTAGATTTTTCAGACATCTCAGCTGCACGTCATAGTTTCTAACTATAGTAACTATAAAAAACTGCTTGATATAAAATTTCTTCTGATGTAGAACCTTATTCCATGATTTTATCGGGTGAAGATATTTTTCCCTGTTTGTCTATGTAACATCTCTCAAAATCTACAGTATATGTATTTGTAGCTGCTGTTGGCTTCTGTATAAATAACTGGTACACCATGATGAAAACAGTGACAATATGGGGGAAGCTTTGTCTGTGACGTGATTTGAATTATTGCCCAGTAGAGGCATATCAATTCATCAATGCTTCTCCACTCTTTTTTTACTTTGCTGGACTGAATCATTGCACGGGGAAAACGAATAGATGCGAGCCATGCTTACCTTCCGCACACCGGAAGACCTTGCAGAGGAAATGCCATCTCCTTGCAATGACAATCTCAAGGAAATGATGCTTAACTTCAACAAGGAGTTATTGGCCCTCGCCTCAGTTAAACAGGTAACGTGTTTTTTTTTCTCCATTATCATAATTGGCATCCTTGTTGTGTCAAGAAATTCGGCAACAAACAAGCGTCGACTGGCTATATACTGGCTTTTGTAAATAATATAGACTAATTATAAGGAATATACTTAAATAATAACCAATTGCAATGGTGGAATTTTGGTATTGACTCACCATAACTATCATGTTTAAGCATCGACTGACTATTGCTGTTCAATATTAAAATACTTCTAAATAATGTTAGGAGGAAGAGGAAGAAGAGGAGGAACCTGATCTGACATGGCAGGAGAAGCTCATCCAGGTGATGCTGAAGAAGAAGGAGGAACCTCCAACCATTGATTCCAGGATCAACCAAGAAATACCATATGATGGCCAACAAGGTGATGCTGCTGCTATTGCTGCTATTGCTGCTATTGCTGCTATTGCTGCTATTGCTGCTACTGCTTCTGTTGTTGCTGCTGCTGCTATTGATGCTGCTGTTGCTACTACTGCTCCTGATTTTGCTGCTGCTATTGCTACTGCTATTGCTGCTGATATTGCTGCTGCTGCTGCTGTTGCTGCTTCTGCTGCTGCTGCTGCTTCTGCTGCTGCTGCTGCTGCTTCTGCTGCTGCTGCTGCTGCTGCTGGTGCTGCTGCTATTCCTTCTTGTCATTTTCTAATGGCACTAATGATGATGGTAGAAAATCTGGATAGTTTCTCATTATTGAGATGGTCGTCTGCTATTGTATTACATCCACATCAGCTAAATAACTAATGTTTTGATGCTTGTTTTGTATTTTTCATATTTTTTTAATTCGAATACTAGAAGGTGGCATTAAGAAAATTGATAGAATTAATAGGGAATGGGTGCAAAATTTCTTATTCTGTCATTTCATTCTGGGCAGAATTTTTACCAATATCCATAGACAGCTTGCATAATGTTGTAATGGATTATGAATGCTCATGTGTTTGATTAACGATGCGCAGGCACATTGAACCAGCTGATCGCTCGCACGGTCATGAAGTGGGGTTCTGAAAATTTCATCGAAGACCAGAGTTTGATCAGGGAGATGTTCAGCCTTCTGCACAGGCAGTATGATGGTGTTGGTGAGGTATGCATTGTTCACAGTGTGACGCTACTGAGGCTACGTGGAAAACAGTTGGGGTTAGATGTATCAGACTGGATAATCACATGTGTGTGCTAACTGGGTATTCTATGTATACTGCTCATTACACTTTTTCCGAATCTTGCTGCCATATGCCATAAATCACTTACGTGTAGCCCGCTAAAACAGTAGGTAGATATTGTTAGCTTGATGTCTATAAAACAAATCGCATCTAATTGCAGTAAAATCTTAGTGGGCGGCAAAGTTGCACAAGAATACACTAGATGAAATATTCATTAGTTACATAATTGATCATAATACATATTTATATCATTATAATTACATAATGACAAGGACAGGATCATCAACATATTTGTTGCCAGCAGAAGTAAATCTCTGTGGATTGATATTCTAAGGGAATAATTTGCATGTCACCTTGCTTTTTTTTTTAGCTGTGCCGTGCATTAGAGAAAACATATACGATCAGTGTTGTCAGCAAGGAGGATTTTGAGCAAATTCTAGTGAATCTCAGCCAGATCCGAGCCCTGCTAGAGGTGCAGCTCAGTGTGGAGGAGGAGGTGGTGCTGCGCAGTGCCCTCTGGTGAGTGCAGACGGAGGTTTGAGCAGAATATAGAGGATGAATGATTGGTATATAATTAACAGCCATGACATCTGCAATGACAATTTTCAGTGATGTGTAGGCACACGCAAGTAATGAATAATGACCGTGGCCACGCGTCCGGCTACCGGACGCCGAACTCCCAGGCTACGCGTCCAGTCATATTTCATATGTGAACCCAACTATATTTTTGCTGTAAAAAACAATAAAGTTTTTACCATAATATTACTTGCCTTTAGGAATTTTAATAAAAAAAAAGTGTTTTTATAACTATTGAAGCAATAGCAAATCCAGTAAAATCAACGATTTGAAAGGGGCGTGGCCTAATCGTGACGTGGATTTGGGAATCTTTTTGAGATATCCTGTTGACAGACAAACAAACCAACAAACAAACCAAAAAACAAACCAACAAACTAACAGGGGCGAAAACATAACCTCTTTGGCGGTGGTAAAAATAAAGACAACAGCAGCATTTTGTGAGTAGTGCTTGTGGAAACCTGTGAGCGATGCCACCAACAATAATAACAACATTTTGGAGGAGAGAATAAAGCACACGGGTAAACAATGAAAGCAATAGTGACAACAACAACAACTTCAATGACAACACCACGATAATCAACAACAAAAATGAAACATTTCAAACTGTGTGATTGCAACACAAACAATAACAATGACAACAATAACACACGCGGCACCATCTGACGACGGTTGTTCGATTCCAGGGATCTGATGAACAACAAGATCTTCTTCCAGCATCCCGACCTAATGCGCGCACTGTGCGTGCATTATGTTCATTCACGCTGTGTGTTCTTGTTGTTTGATTCCAGGGATCTGATGAACAACAAGATCTTCTTCCAGCATCCGGACCTGATGCGCGCGCTGTGCGTTCACGAGAACGTCATGCGCGTCATGGTCAACACGCTGAACAAGTCGCAGGTTCAGAGTCAGTCACAGGAGGGCCAGGATGGTATGGGCGGAGATTCCGTCCAGCAGCAGGTAAGCCGAGGCAGCAGACGGGGGACACACAGGAGCTGCCATGCTGTAATATGCGCGTGCGTGTGCGTGTGTGTGTGTGTGTGTGCGTGCGTGCGCGTGCGTGCGTGTGTGTGTGTGTGTGTGTGTGTGCGTGCATGTGCGTGCGTGCATTCGTGTGTGCGTGCGTGCGTGCGTGCTGGTGCATGCATGTGTGCATGGATGAGAGAGGTGGGATTGATAGGTCAAGCGAGAGTGAGAGAAATTGACAGAAAGAGCATGAAGGTGAAAGAGAGAGAGCTGAGTCTGTAAATAAGTGTTAAAGTGAGAGAGAAAGAGAGAGAGAGAGAGAGGGTGAGAGAGAGAGAGCTGAGTCTGTAAATAAGTGTGAAAGTGAGAGAGAAAGAGAGAGAGAGAGAGAGGGTGAGAGAGAGAGAGCTGAGTC